GAGGCTGTTCGCGCGCGGAGCGCGTCCCCCGCCAGGCAGGCAGGCAGCCGCTGGAGCTGTCCCAAGCGTCGTGGGTGGGGTAGGAGAAAACTCCCATCCGGAATAATCCTTTAACACAAAGCAGTCTCGCAGAACTCGGCGAAACCGGGCACGTTACCTCGTCGTGTTTCACTGTAGCGCTGCTGCTGCTGCTGCTGAGCTAGAGCAAATACCACCGCACCACCCCACAAAACTTAGCGTATACTATGTGCGGAGTTTTGTTTAACATCTGTCCGGCCTCGGTATATTCCAAAAATCCTACTTCCTCCTTTGAATCCCTGAGAATGTTTCATTCGAAAACTATTTTTTGTTTCTTTATGGGCTTTGAGATGCTTCTGTCGTCGTTCACGTTTCACAGTTTCTGTACGTGTGCCCTAGTAGTTTTAGAGCAGTGGTTCCTCTTCACCGGCACAGTTGGCATCTTCTAGTGGATAATTTGAGCTGTTAGTGCTGCTTCCTGATGGGAAGTGACAAAGTTTGCAGTACAGTCCGTTGCTCCATTTTTTTCAGGTAGCTGCTCCAGAGTTGCTGCTTTTACACTTCTCCTTTGAGGACAAAACGACAGTGCTCTAAACTTATATTGTGAGACCGCTCTCCCGCTTCCCTTAGTGAAGTAGGATTTGATGTTTAGCAAGGGTTCCTTTCAAAAGAAGGCTGAGACCATGAGTAATATAAGAAGATTGAATTTGGCATGCTAAAACAGTAAATAGTTGACACACAAACTCTCTGATGTTTTGCCTGTCTCCACAGTGTTTACTAGTAACAATCACAGGAAACCTTGGCTCCTTAAAGGGCATGCTGCTATGTGTAAAAACAATCCAAGAACTTACCTTTAGGTTCTTCAGATAAGCTGTCACAGTTACAGATATCAGATATTTCTGCTGTTTTTGACACAATTCAGTTATAATGAGTTTCTTTCATTGCACATATTGTTTCTATATACCAGCAATGCTTTCTTTAAACCTTAATTTTATCATGATTTGAAAGTCCATCAGATAGTTTTGAAAAAATGTAGGTGTATGACATAGCTGATCAATTCTGGCCTTAATTACCTTACTTATAATTAATTTCAGAATTTAGTGTAAGAAGTTCATTTCTCTGTACATATCTTCAAAAAGCCACAGCTGTTTTGTTAAAACTGTATTTCTTGTTTTAAAAATGATTTTGCTTCCTGGTATATCTCGATGTCAAGTGTAGAAGCATGGGAATCTCCAAGGTGCTTCCCTTCTTCCTTGTGTGCTGGAATGACTTTGATTGCACAACCATGCTTCAAATTTTAAGTATAAAATGAATGACTTGGGGACAGAGATTAACGATTAACATACGATCATGATTCATTTCTAAACACTTTCATTGGCTAGAGCTCCAGAAGAGTAGTGTTTAACAAAATTGTGAAATATAGTAAGATTAAACTGTGCAAAGTTCAGCAAATGCTGAAAAATGTTTCATAATTAGCAGCTGTATCTTCTTAAACAGCTAGAGAAAGATGCTTTTAAAGTAGTTTGAGTCATGACATTAATTTTCCCTTGATATTTGCAGAGTTGTAGAACTAATCTGGTCCTTTGTTTACAGCAGTAATTATCAGCTGATAATGATTCTTTTTTCCTAGAATGTTTTCTTCTGGTGCTGTCTTGTTTGTTTGGATTATAGTTTAATCCAAACTTTCTTCCAGTTTGTTCAAATGGTGTCACTCGGTGGTCAGTGACATAGTGCAAGTTGTTTGTTCTGTTTCTGTGTCACAAAATCACTTTGTGAATCTAGACAATATTCTCTTACCTCTGTTGTGTTTTTTTTGTTCTTGGTTTTGTTTTGATAAGGATACAGCTTCTGTTCACTTAGCTTTTATTTCAGTGTGATTTGTCTGTCAGCATTTCCCAAGCTAATTTGCCTTGCATACCCATGCTGTCACTGTTATCAAATTAGCCAGGATTCAGTACTCTGCAGATGGGATTGCACTAGTTCTCGTTCTGAGAGCCAGCCTGTTTTAGCTTCAGGAGCTTGTCAGGCAGCTTTAGGGAGAGATGCATCTTACAGGATGGCAGATTCTTTGTATGTGCAAAGTTTAAATTCAGGCAGTGTTTGGGATTTTCGGTGATGCGCTTTCTGGGGTTTCTTTTTGACTGTAAAATCTTTCATATGACTCTCTTGGCTTATTGAATACCAACTTTGCCTATAGTTTTACAAATGTTGGAAAACCGAGAAATCATTTTAATTCTTCTTAATTATTATTGCTGAGCAATTAACAAGCAAAAAGTTCACATTCTTTTCAGACTCTTGTAAGACATAGATTTCTTAAGGGCCAAATCTAGTCGAGGCAGAACAACTTAAGTGTGTCATCCCAAAAGATCCTTTATTGTTGGTAAATAGTGGACTATTGTCTAGATGAATGTTCTCGTAGCCATCTCCCTCTGCACCCTGTAGGTTCCCTCATCACGTGAAGTGCATCCAGATATGGTGAAAACTTCACTGTCACCTGCTGTGCGGCCTTTGTGTGTTGTGGGCTATCAGCGTTTTGCAGGTGCTTGTCACGTGGTAAAAGAAAGGGTCAGGACTTTAATCCTCCAGTCAGTATGTAAGAGATGGTACTGGCTGTTCTTTACTGCTTACTGCACTACTCTTTTCCAGCCAAAAGGTTCCTTTTCTTCTAAAGAGATATTTGCACTGTATCAAGGCCTGTGCCTGGACTTGAATCTACACTCACCAACTGTGGATGTAAACCTGCAGTCGCATGTAAGCTTGAGGTAAGCCTCAGGCCGTACCAAGAGGAAGGAAGTACTGGGGACACTTGAGCCTGGTTCATCTCACTGTGTCTGGACCTGGCTTGCGGTATTTGCCATCCTTTCTCCCCTCTCCCCGCCACTGATGATGTTCTTTGTTAATTGTAATACAGATAAATCTTGAAAAAACTGCGTACTCTATTCCAGCCTTCCCCATCTTCCCCACTATCAGCATAGTTATTTATGTTGTTGCCTAAACTAGCGTGTTTAACGCCAATGACCCCACGTAGGTGATGTTTATTGCGTGTCTTGGTATTTGTGCTGTGTGTGATCATATGAAGTTCCAAGTAGTTTAATGGGTTGTCAAGAGTTTCACTTTTTGTTGTAATCTATATGCTGGTGATTTCTGTTCTGCATGGTTACTGAGGATCTTTTTCTTTTCCCTTTTGTAGTTTCTTGATTAAGCCACTGCCTTTATGAACCCATATCTTGTAAGAGAAGCCAAAAGTTTCATTATGTCTCATGTTGAATATTTATTTCCAGATTGAATGAGAAGCTATCAGTCACAATTATCTTTTGGGGGGTAATTCTTGCATATGTGTAGGAAGGTGAAGCTGTAGGTTGTTCACTTTATGACTTTGAGTTTTCTAACAAAGATGCCATAGTCACATGCGAGGTGGTTAAAATATTGTAAAATAGTCCCACAGTATAGATTCAATTTGCTCATTCAAATTGGTTAAAAAATTTGTTGTGCTAACATTGCTCTGGTCGATTTTATGCTGGATG